GCAGTCAGACTGAAGCAAGCAAGATGATGCCATGGCCCTGGGAAGAGCGTCACCTATCACATCGAATCAGGACGTGTGTGGGTGTGTAATAGGAAGAGAGCAGGTGTATGATGTCGAGAGAAGGAGAAAAAAGTAGGCGAGACGTGATTGCACGTATTTCTTTGTATCTTAGTGGCGGTGGCAAGGGTTGTGTCACCGGTGGGATTCGAACCTACGCCCTCATCGGAGGGCCAGAATTCCCAGAAAGTGAACTCACTTGAGTCTGGCGCCTTAGACCGCTCGGCCACACCAACGCTTGTCGCGATCATGCAAACAGCCACACATCCTAACCATTCCCCTCTCGTCTTCTCTTGTGTCGTTTCTTCTTTTCTGGCCCCGACTCACCTCACCTCACCTCACTCCCTCACTTATCCGACAATAACATCTCGCTGCTACTTATAGCGGCTTGATGTGAAGTGTAGAGTAGCGGAAAGACCATAGTGCTCCCCCAAGTCACCTCTCTGACTCTGCTTCACTGCCTGTGCACCACTTCTATCTCCCTGTCTACCCGTCTGTACATCACCTCCTGTCTGTTCCTCCTCCTAAATTATTATTATTATGACCTCTCCCACATACACTACTTCTATTTAAGCTGTTTGTAAGCAAATGCGCTTTCGCTTCAATAGACTTGAATTCATAAGCGAATAACACTCCAATTTATATATCAAACGATCACTAACACCGAAAAACACTGGACCAAAAAGTCTAAGAAGTATTTACATCCCTTAGCATTATAAACATTGAAAATCAAGCTTTACGTATACGCAATTGACGATGCCAGCCCAGAAACCATAATAGGGTGTTTACCATCAAAAGCAGATCTGTCCCATTAAATTACAACTAGACAAAATTAGTCATTTTATTCATAACATCACATTGCTGTTAGAAATTTGTATATGTATTGATTTGTACATTTAATTATGATTAAAAAAGTCAGTCATTTAATTGCTTTGCTATATAGCTGTTCATTTGCTGTAAATTGTTTGCCTTTACACATTTTTATCAATCTCGAAATGGACAATTAAACATATTCTGCTCTTTAAACCAATCAGAACACAAGTCAGATTAACAATCACGAGCCGTATATTAGCCTCATAAGTTGGAATCGCCGCTTGCAAGCCCACATTGGATG